TGTCTGTACGTAAGTACAGCTGTGTCTGTACACGCGTACGGCTGAATTAGGTTGCCTGAAACGTTAGCTATCTAGCCTGTGCGTTAGGGGCTATGTGTACTTAAGAGCCCTCTTTCTTTGTATAAAAAGAGAGGGTAGTAGTTAATAATAAAAAGATCTTTACCTACTTACCTCTTAGTACGCTTTTTAGGCGTACATTTGTTTAATTAAACTTAGGTTAACTAATACTAATTAGTCTATTAACAGACTATTTACTGCGTGCGTAGCTACGCAGAGGATATTGTCCTTAACAGACAGATTTGCAAGGATTAACAAAACTGCTACTGTACAAAAAGCTTACACCTACCACGTGCGTAGCTACGCAGAGAAGGTACAAAGAAGCTCACATCTACTGTGTGCGTAGCCACACAGAGAGGGGTGAGTAAGCCTTATGCGCGCCCTTAGATTAACTAATTGCACAAAGACAAGATTAGCAACCTGCCGCGTGCGTAGCCACGCAGAGAGGGCTTACTGCTAAGCCTTTATGCGCTCTAGAGCCTCCTGTTGACACAGGCTGTGCAACCACTTGCCTACCGCGTGCGTAGCCACGCAGAGGAGACAATACAGGCCGCACAATTAGAAACCTACCGCGTGCGTAGCCACGCAGAGGAGGCTCCTCATCAGCAGCCCGCCTTGTTAACACCCCCCCCCCTCAATTAGTCGCTCGCACAGAAGGCGACCAACTAACACCCCCTACCCCCCTAGGGATCTATCGCTTGCACGAAAGGCGATTAACTAACACCTCCCCCCCCCCCTAGGGATTAATTGCCTGCACAGAGGGCAATTATTAATTAACAACCCCCTTAATTAATTGCCTATATAAGAGGTAATTAATTAGTTAACACACCTCTTCTCTACCCTAGAGACTAACTGCCCGCATAAAGGCGGTCTACTACTAATACCCCCTCTAGTTGCCCGCACAAAGGGCACCCCTAACACCTCACACCTCCTACCCCCCACCTTAGCTATGGAACCTCTGTAGTTATATAAAGAGTTGTTAGAGGTTACTTATATATTAAAAACAGTCCTATGCAGAGAAGTAAACTTTTACCTTATAAGGGATAATTATCTTAACATAGATATAAACCCTACACAACTATAATAATGCTTATACGCAGTATACATCTTAATTAACATGCGTTATAAGATAGCTAGAAGAGAGTATACACTATAAAACAACAACTTTTAGGGATAGACAACACACAATTTTAACAACCTCTTTTATGTAATTAGGCAAGAACTTCTTCTTGCTCTAGCTAAGCACAGGCACTATCCTAGAGGCAGGTTAAATTGTACGCAAGCTAAGAAGCTAGGGGATATTATAAATAGAAAAAGCACTAAGGGTCAGCTCTAAAAAAAAAAGTAGAAGAGTAAGAAAAAAAGAAAGAAAAAGAAGTAGAATTAACATATAAATAAGTAAGTAACTTTATAAAAGTAAAAAGTTGCTAGTGTTTGTACGTAAGTACAGCTGTGTCTGTACACGTGTACAGCTAAATTAGGTTGCCTAAAACGTTAGCTATCTAGCCTGTGCGTTAGGGGCTATGTGTACTTAAGAGCTCTCTTTCTTTGTACAAAGAGAGAGGGCAGTAGTTAATAACAAGAAGATCTTTGCCTGCTCACCTCTTAGTACGCCCCTTGGGCGTACGTTTGTTTGATTGAACCTAGGTCAACTAACAGTTAGTATAATATAATAGTATATAGTGTAAAGAAAGATATAGTATAAATAAAAGTATTATAATAGTAAAAAGAAAAATATAGTAAATAAAAATATAGTTTAAAAAAAAGATAGTAGAGAAATAAAACATAGTATATATAAAAACATAGTAAATAAAAAATATAGTATATAAAAAATATAGTAAAAAGATAGTAAAGAAAAAGTATAGAATAGAAAAAAGCATAGTATAAAATATATAAAGTATAAAAAAAGTATATATAAAAAGTATTATATATAAGCATAGTATAAATAAAAATAAAAGATA